CTCTAGGAGTGAGGATTAAGCACTCGTTATGGTCATGCATATTGTTAGGGTGTTGTGACAATACTTGAGACAAATATGGGTAGGTGTGGAAGGTAGTATGAGCCCGTATTACTGAAAGCACAAAACCCATACGCGTATCAAGGAAGTCACAACCCCTAGGGTTGGGTAGGGAGTTGGTCCCCGGTCATTATATGGATTATTAGATATCTTCTTGTGTCTTACCAGAATGGTGCTTACGAGACGTCTTGAGATAGGATCCGGGTTAGGATCGGAAGCTGGCAGCCATGATAGACCAATAGTGTTAGAGGAACGTATCAGTAAGATCATTCGAGAGGAGGTGATCAAGATTGTACAGGGATGGTTGCCATAGATGTTTGGGTTTATTAAGACCTCCAGGGTTTATTAAGACCTTCAATGGAGGAGTAAATTCGAGCAAATCATAAGTTTTTAGCAGTTACAATGTTAGGCATTATATAAAGCTCGAAAAAACCTATGAAAACCCCACTAGAATTGCAAGAAAAGGTTGAGAATCAAGGGAGAAATTGGTGTTAGAAGTTCTTGAAGAGTTTTCGGAGTTTCACTTAAAATTAAGGTATGATCACTCAAGTTAAGCTTGATTAGTTGCTTAGATAGATGTATATGCATGTTAAACTTATTTTGGTTCAACCTAGTGTCTCAATTCGATCCAGTCGGTACCAAATCGACAAAGAGTCATAAGGAACATTTTTATTTTCAATAATTTGTTTAATCCACCGGTTTATGGAGCTAAATTAGATAATTGGTTATGGATTATTGTTAGAAAGAAGTGGAGATAAATAATTGTGTGTTTTATTAAATTATTTGGTATTAAATTCAGAAAAAATTAAAGTTTCCCAAACATTTAGGAATAATAGAAAATGGGTTATTTTCGGGTAAGGAAGATGACATTTTGTATATATATATATATATATATATATATATATATATATATATATATATATATATATATATATATATATATAGAGAGAGAGAGAGAGAGAGAGAGAGAGAGAGAGAGAGAGAGAGAGAGAAGGTGAGTTAGAAACATGTCGGATTTAAGGATTTTCTTTTTAGAAAAAGAATAAACATAAATGGATATAGGATTAGGGATGAGCAAAAACAGAACTGCAAATTAAAAAAACTGAAAAAACCGCATAAACCGAAACCAAAAAACCAAAACCGAAATGAAAACCGATGGTGCGGTTTCTAGTTTTGCAAAAACCGCAAAAAACCGAACCGCACCGCTATATATATATATATATATATATATATATATATATATATATATATATATATATATATATATATATATAAAGTGTTGATATTTGTAAGAACCAAGAACTTATGACAATTATTTCTATAAATATAAATATCTATCTTATCAATCGGATGATAATTGTATACTTTTAAGCATACATTCAATTATATTTACATTAATAAATAATGTTTATGATATTCTTTTAACATTTAAATATGAAGAGTACTGGTGATATAGTTTCATTTTTATGAATATATTAATTGATATTATTGTATGTGTTTGTGAAACAAATATTATATTAAATTTGTATTATATTTAAGCATTAGAAACATGTTGGATGAGTGGTTATGTAATTTGATTTCAAACCAAGAGGTAGTGGTATCAGTTTATCTCCAATAAATGATTAACACTCCTCATCTTAGTCAAGGTAACTCGCCGAGTTACTTGAGTTTTAGTAAAAATGCAAAACGAAAAAAAACTAACAAAAAACTGGAAAAAAAAACGAACCACAAAAAACCACAATAAAAAACAGCAAAAACCGAACCGCATAAAAACCAAATGGTGCGGTTTCTAAATTTAAAAAAATCAAAGTTGCAGTTTTGACCAAAAATCGCACCGCACCATATCCACCCTATATAATTATAGGTCACTAGGAAGTGTGGATGATAACGTGTCGCTTTGTTGTTACGTTCCATCCTCATTAGGTACATTGATGTTCTGTTGCAAAGGAAATTTCATATTCAACCTTGGAGTTTTGATTTTTGTTTTCTTATGGATTCAACATCGTTTCACTAGCCCTTGTATTTCTGTTGAATTAAACTCAAACCTATTTTGATTAATAGAATTTGTTAAGTTTGATTGGGCATCTATAACGGACTCATAATGTTGATTTATGCTTTGGTAAATGAATTTTTGAACGAATTTTTTTTCTAATAGGAATTATGTGATTATATTCTATTTTATTTTTGATTGTTAGATATTAACGGTTAATAATGATGAAAAACTAATGAAAACTTTATTTGTAGCCATAATGAAATTTTATTAAAAAAAATACTAATAATTACATTTCTAATAAAGTGATAACGCTTAACTTAAATAACAAAATTAGATAAATGGTTGGACGAACGAGACATATTGGAGGGGAACCAAAATGATCGTATAGTGTGTTTTTTAGGATTGAAACCTTAGAAAATAATATTGGTTTAATGTAGGGTGCATTTAGCGTGACAAACTTTGGTTAAAACCTAAACGCCAACAAGATGAGTTTCGTGTGAATTTTATGATTGCTTGCATGAAAAAATTCATTCTAATTTGTTTAAAATTCCATGTTACCATTGTTATTGCTATAAATATTTGTGTGAATTTTATGAACTTTTTTTCATGTAAAAGGGGTGGAAAGGGTGGGTGACATATGAATAGGGAACGTGTGTATTAGTATACGATATTATTATTAGTCGTCATATAGGGTGTCAGTACGCGGCGGAGAGCTTACACTCTGATTAATTAGCCGTAAGCATATTTGTTGTGCCCGACAGAGAGACTTGTTCTCTGAAAATGACAGTAGTCCCCTAACGTGTCACCAAAGGTAGAAAGAGATGAAAAGAATTATAATTGATAATTTGTTGCATTATTTTTATATTATTGATATCAATATGAATGAAAACCACGGACTCACTAGGACTTAGGCTTACCCATTAGAATCTTTAAATGCACGCAACACAGAAAATAACGAAGCAAGTGGCAGTGGGAATAGAATTGATAAAGTTCAAACTGAAGAAGTCGACAGGTTTAGAGAAAGACGTAACGTAACAAGTGTTACTTAAATTTCTATTTGCTTCCGCTATTATTATTAATAATGACATTAGTATTAGGATTTTCGAATTTTAGGAGTTTTGTGACCATGTTAAGTTAATATTGGTATTTAAAATTTAGGGCGTTACATCATAATATTCTTAGACCATATTCTCATAATATTCTTAAATTTGATTATAATATTATTTTAAATATCAGTACCAAAATACCTATACATTCCGGACTACGCTCCGGAATATATAATGTCAGATTTCAAAATACTTATATCCTATATCTAATCAATCACCATGTACAATAGAACAAACTAATAGAACAAACTATGGATGTCAATGCAGCATTGCAAGAGATTCTATGAGATTTTTTGACATCCTTAGAACAAACATAACTAATCTAAAATATTGCAATAAAAAAAAATATTTTTTAAATTCCTAAATAAAATGATTATTTTTATTAATTAACTCTTTATAAAAGTTAGTTTTGTTAATATCCCATTTTTTTTATTTAGAGAGTTGCTTACAATTATATATATATATATATACACACACACACACACATTAAATGAAAACGTAATGACTTAAAAGGGTAATATATTTTTCGATTTGTACACATTTGGTCACTGAGTTTTTTTTTTCGTCCACATTTACCGCTTCAACTTGTTAAACTGTACACATCCAGTCGTTATAACCGGTTACTTCAGGTTAACCGGGAAAAATGACTTATTAGGGTAATGTATTTCTCATTCTGTACATATTTGGTCCTTAATATTTTTGTACACATTTAGCCCTTAATTTTTTTTTTGTTTCAAAATAAGTTATTTTTTTGTTTTTTTTACCAATTCAATACTCATGAATGATTTATTTAAGGTTTTTCAAATGACATCTAACATGAGATTATCATTGATGACATGGACGGTTCTCTTTGGGTGCCTGTAATGACACCGACAACCCCTTCTTTTTTTTTGTACACAATGTAAATTTTTCGATATTTTTTTTCTTTTTTCTACTTACCGACAACACCTACTACGGACCGACAACTACCAAATCCTACGTCTGTCCCTGATTGATGAGATGTTTAGGGCCACTGATGCTTATGTCCATCGTGGCCTCGATTGCTTGGTTGCATAGGTCTTGTGGTTTGGTTTAGGTTTTGTATTCCGAACGTCGTAACTTCTTCATACGATATCTAATTTTAATGATCTTTATGTCTACGTGTTTGTTTTTTAAATCTGCTATAAATTTCGTTAAGATTGCTCCTATTAAAATATAATATTTTTTACTTACAATTTTATATAAAAAACATCCATACAAGCATTCATAAAAAACGTATGGATATAAAATCGTAATTAAAAAATATATTACTTTTTAACGGGAGTAATCTAAACGAAAGTTGTAGTATACTAAAATACAAACGCATAGATATAAAGATCGTTCCGTGATAGTATGAAAAAGTTATAACGTTCAAAACACATGTCTTAAGCAACCAAGTAGTCGAGATCGCGATGGACATAAACATTAAAAGCCTAAAACATCTCGTTAATGATTGTTCCATGTAAGATGTTGTGAGAAAAACTTAAAGAAAACATTCATAAGTATTGAATGATTACAAAAACAAAAACAAATTATTTTGCAACAAAAAAAATTAGTGACTAAATGTGTACAAAAATATTAAGGATTAAATGTGTACAAAATGAGAAATATATTACCATATTAAAACATTTTTACCGGTTAACCTGAAATAACCGATCATAAAAATTGAATATGTACAGTTTAAGAAGTTGAAAGGGTAAATATGAAAAAAAAAATAAACTCAATGATCAAAATATATACAAATCAAAAGAATATATTACCTTTTTATTATCCCATAAAATTATCTATACAAACGTTGGAGATAACTTATTTTGGCTATAAATTGGATGTCAAACTTCTTTGACAAAGTGAATATCAAATCCAAATCCAAAGATATGGACACAATTCCACCAAACAAGGGATTCATAATTTCCTCTTTCCCCAATCTTGTAGACAGCTCAGATTTCAAATCTGATTTTGTTTGGGGTGCTGCCACTTCTGCTTATCAGGTATGTTTTGGCATCCTACTATTTCGATTTTTTTAATTTATAAATGAGTCACTTGATGGCACTACGATAAGAAAAAGAAAACATAAAATGTGGAATCTCGATTTCTACATTTCACCACTTTCCACCACTAATCAACATGAAGCACTCCACAAACCAATAAGTGGAAGCATTTCAAAACCCAGATCTGTTCATATGGTCGAGCTTGAATCACCCTTATCCCAAAAACAAAACCATTTAAATGTAAACCCAGTGATGCAGCCGTACAAATTGAAACCTGCAAATCTAAATCTTGAAGATATACAATCAAATTGCTATCCCAATCCAAAATCATGTAAGCCCAATGAACAAAAAGTCAGATCCAAAAAACATAACGAAAAAGAAGATAAACGGTAGCGATTGGGAGGAAGATGAAGTTGTTTTCTTGTTTTCGAAACCAGATCCTAGATCGAAAAAACGAAAACCGAAAACACTTATCTATGTTTTGGACCCTCTACATATTTATTAAAAATTGGTTCAGATTAATCTTTAGTTGGGATTATGTTAGGGAAGAAACCCTTTGATGAATCCCACTTTATCTGGGAAGATGAACACTATGTGTTGTGCAAAAGCTGAAGCGAAAACAATTAATAAGAAATTTAGACAAAATGGTCAATAGCCATTTTTGACTTTTTTGACTTTTTTTTTTTTTTTTTTTTTTTTTTTTTTTTGGCGAATACTATAAAACCATTATATTTTCACACGTTTTTTAGAAAAGCTATATTATTTTTTTTGTTTGCCTCTGGCCACAAATTGGATATAGAGTTACCACTCTAACCCATTTAACGATTTTCATGGTTAACTCTGTTAAATTCTTTGCAAAATTAGTCCCAAAAGTTAAAATATGGTCCCTGTAGTTTGCAAAAATTTATACAACATGTCCAAAACTCGATTTTATGTTTTTAACTCTTTTATTTTCAATTTTTTAAAACTTTTTTTAATCAAAGCTAAACTTGCTTTTATATTTTTAATTTTTTTATATTTTTCGTTCTTATTTCATTTTTTTGTTTTTTTTTTTTAACTTTTTTTTTGTTTTTTTATTTTTATATTCATTTATTTTTCATATTTATTTTCGTTTTTCATTTAAAAAAAAACAAAAAAACAACTCAAACACCAAAAAAGTAATATAATATATTCATAAACGTTACACTTTGTTAAAAATTATCAAAAGAAATTATAAAATTGACGAAAAACAAAACGTAACAAAAATACGAAAAAAAATTACGAAACAAATACAAAAAATATAACAAAATATTCATACACTTTAAAGTTTTTGATAAATATCAAAAGAAGTTATCAAATTGACGAAAAACAAAACCTAAATTTACTTTTCAAAAATAAAAGAAAAGCGAAATTAAAGAAAAAACATAAAAAGTAAAATAAAAAAAACGAAAAAAATATAAAAATATATGGAAAATAAACAAATATAAAAAATGAAAAACAAAAAAAAGAAGTTAAAAAATAAAAAAATATATAAAAAAAAACAAAAAACAAAAAAAAAAGTGAAAATGAAAAGGAACAAAAAATATAAAAAAATTAGAAAAATATAAAAGCAAGTTAAGCTTTTATTAAAAAATGAAAATAAAGAAGTTAAAAAACATAAAACCGAGTTTTTGACATGTTGTGTAAATTTTTGCAAATTATAGGGACCTAATTTAAACTTTTAGGATTGATTTTGAAAAATAATTAAAAAAGTTAACCATGAAAAACATTAAATGAGTTAGAGTGGTAACTTATGTCCAATTTGTGATCAGAGAAAAAAAAAAAAAAAAAAAGGGTTTTTATAGTGGTTTTTTTTGGTATTTGTCCTTTTTTTTCACTCAAACTTACCTCTTTAGTCCCTAATGTATAGTAAGTTGGTTACATTTATCCTTAGCCGTAGTTTTATGTCACTTTTACCTACAATCTCCACGTTAGCTTACAACTAAGTCCAACTTTTTTTTTTTGGGTACATCCGAAAGTAAATTCCAAACTTCCCACCTGCTCATTGACTCAAATCGTGACCCATCATAGATCATTCTTTTCCACAAACATGTAGATTATCACTTGAAATTTTGAAAACCGGACCGACCGGTTCGACTGGGAACCGGTCCTGGATACGGTTCTTAAAGACCAAAAAACGATATTCATGTGAACCGGTAAAACCGGAAATTTTAGAAAATATTTATTTTGTCCATTTTTTGTATTTTTTATATAATTAAGTATAATTATGACGTCATCCAGTTTTTCCGGTTTTTGAGACCGGTCTGACTGGTTGGACCACTTGAACCATCGAACCAGTAAAACGACCGGTCCGGTTTTCAAAACTTTGCTTGAAAACCAACTTCTATGTTGTCAATAATCAAGACCATTGCAACTTTGTTTCACCAAAACCGAAAAAAACCACTACCAAAAACATTAAACGCAACACTACAAAATGTCTTATTTACACTATAACCCCATTTATTTTACTAATATTAGTATATTACATTTTACCCCTGTTTATATTTAAAAAAAAATCTTATCTTTTACTATTAATCTACTTTGTCATGTATACAAATCAAAAGATAAATATTATATATCGAGAAATGTACAATTAAAGAGCATTTGTAAAAAGAATAAAAAAGACATTAATATTAAATACTAAAAAACTTAACAATTACATAGTCTTTTTTTTTCATTTTTTTATATATCTATAATTTATAACTGTATAATCATACTATACTTATAAAAGAATAATTTTTTCTTTCACCACATTAATTTGAAAGTCTCAAATTTTCATCTTTCTCTATAATATAATTTCTAACTTAAATATGTTATTAATTATAAATATCATCATAAATGGAAGACTTCATGAATTATTAGTAACTTCAATATAATATTAAATACATATCCTAAATTAATATATCAAACACACTTAAAATATAGTTTAAAATTTAAAACCTAAAGTAAAATATCAATTAAAGTTGTAAAAAAACTTAACCTATATTTTTTACAAGAGTTAAAATGAAAATATTAAATACAATAAACGTAAAAGAAGATAAATCTAAAAGTAAAGTTAACTAAAAGATCTCCAAAAATAATTTTTTATAATAACTAAAATTCAGTTAAGTTATTTGAAAATTAATTTATGATAATAATAGTTAAATTATCATAAAATTATAAATTAAATTATGTTACAACACAAACACTGATTGATAATTTAAATAATTATCATGATAAAATAAAAGGCCCCTAATTTTTCTTTAAAGTTAATAAATCATTATATTAATTAATTAAATTTGATAAGAAATATAACTTATTTATACACACATAAACTGTGAGTAGATACCATTAAATGATTCGATTTTAGTAAGCGTTATATTATCTATTTTTCAAATTAATTATAATGTTATTTTAACTAAATGTCTAAATGTAATAAAAATTATTTTTAGTTAATATAAATGACAAAAATATTTTCAATGACATATGATTACTAAAAGGTTAACTATGGGCGTGTTTGGCACGGAGCTTTTGGAAGCGTTTGGGAGCTTCTAGCTTTTAGCTTTTGACAAAAAGCTCTAGTTTAAACAAAAAGCTTCGTTTGGCAGTACGAGTGTTTAGCTTTTAGTTTTAACAAAACGCTCCGATTCTAAAAGCTACTTCATGTAGCTTTTAACAAAACGCTCCGGAGCTTTTGAAATAAATTTCCATAATTACCCTTAAAAATATATTTATATATTTTTTTATTTTTAATAAATTGTCCTTTTATGTAATTTTATATATTTCAAAAGCTTCCAGCTACTTTTGCCAAACATTCATATAACAAATAAAAGCTACAGCTTCCCGCTACCAGCTACCAGCTACACGCAACCAGCTAACCGCTACCCGCTTCCAGCTAACAGCTACTTTTGCCAAACACACCGTATGTAATTTTATTCCACGCACATGATAATTTCTAATGTCTTTTAGTTATAATAATACGTGTGCTTAAAAACGGCAAATTAGATGTGGTGGTAACTGGTACGTAATTAACGATTATCTTCCATTTTTACTAAGATGACATGTGAAACTTCGATACAAGATTTGAATATGAATTAATATCACATTATATTTGGTTTCATATAGATTGAAGGTGCTGCATCTGAAGGTGGTAGAGGTCCATGCATTTGGGATATCTTCAGCCAGAAGCACCCTGGTCTTTCTTATTTTCATTCTTTGTAAATACATGAGTGACACCTTTTATTAATTTAACTTAACAAAAATTTGTTTTGAATTCTACTGCATGCAGATGCCATCATTAATGGTGATAATGGAAACAATGGTACTGAGGCTTATTATAAATACAAAGTAATATAATCCTGCTTAACCTTTATATTCTCTTAAAGTTAAATGAGAGATTCATTAATCCAAAACCCTTTTATTTTAAATATACAAACAGGAGGATGTGCAAATGATGAAGAAAATGGGTGTAAATTCCTATAGATTCTCAATTTCATGGAGTAGAATACTCCCAGGTGAATTACGAGTAAATGAACCTTATATGTGCATTTTATTTAAAGCTGTAATTAAATTGTTGTTCACTTTTTAGGTGGAAAACTAAGCAAGGGCATCAACAAAGAAGGTGTTGATTACTACAATAACCTGATTAATGAGCTCATAAGCAATGGAATTACGCCATATATCACTCTTTTCCATTGGGACACTCCCGAAGCCCTGGAAGAAGAATACATGGGCTTCTTAAATGAAAAGATCATGCAAGTTGAAAGAATTACTCCAAATCGTACTTTTATAACTTTTGATTTTTCCAAACCACAACCACAACCTCAAACTAATTAGATTACTGTTGTGTGTATATTTGATTATTAGATATGACATTATGAGTTATGCGGGATTTTGCTTCATGGAGTTCGGTGATCGGGTTAAGAATTGGATCACAATAAATGAGCCACAATCTTATGCTTCGAATGGATACGCTAAGGGCACTTATGCACCTGGCAGAGGAAAGAAAAATGGTGCTGGGAATCCTGGCACTGAGCCATACATTGTGGGCCACAATCTACTCCTTTCTCATGCTGCTATTGTTGACCTATACCGCCAAAGCTTTCAGGTACTACATCTTACTGTATCCTACATCTACATCGTGTCTATATATACAGGAGTCTTCCCACTCTTTATAAGGTCTGGAGGGACAATTTTAGACTCTCTCTCTCTCTCTTTCTCTCTCTATATATATATATATATATACATACATATATATATATATATATATATATATATATATATATATATATATATATATATAGTGGCGGACATACATAGAGCAAATGGGATCCCAAGCCACTGCTCCAATTTTCTCCACAAGTGTATAAATTTTTTTTATTTTTTATTTTTTTATTTTATATAGGTGCACCTACTGTCTAAAAAAATAAAAAATTATAGGTGCAATTTTAATCTTTAAGGCTAGGTAAGCTCACCTCAAGTTAGCTCACAGCCCACTTAAACCCAATACCTAATTCTCTAGTTATGAGTGTAGCCATAAGAACAATCATACAAAGGAGGAAAAAAAAGAGCTCATATGTGCCTCTATGTGAAGCTGTGACTGAACCATCAACAGGAAGAGACAAAAAAAATTCCAAAAAATGCGTACTCGCAAATTACTTTAAAAAAATCATGTTGTTATATTTAGACGAATTTTTTTTTGTGCCACTGCTAGTAAAAATGTCTGCGTCCGCCAATATATATATATATATATATATATATATATATATATATATATATATATATATATATATATATGTGAGACGACCTAATTTTGTGAGACCGTAAGACACATTTTATTATTTTTTTTAGTTAATTCAAGTTCAAAAAATAATATTTAATTTTTTTTTTTGGATTTTTCCATTTATTTTTACATTTTAAAATTATTTTTTTGAATATGTACAGTGTAATATTCTATTATAATATTTCACTTATTTTAAAAAAAAAAAAATAGATTTATTTATTTATTTTTTTATTTTTTTAGTTAATTCAAGTTCCGAAAATAATATTTAAAAAAAGAATTTTTAGATTTTTCCATTTATTTTGCATTTTAAAATTATTTTTTAGAATATGTCAGTGTAGTATTCTATTAGAATATTTCACGTATTTAAAAAAAAAAAGGGATTTTTTAATTTTTTTAGTTAATTCCGAAAATAATATTTAAAAATAGAATTTTTGGATTTTTCCATTTATTTTGCATTTTAAAATTATTTTTAAATTTGATCTCACGGTCTTACAAAATTAGAATAGTCTCAAATAAAATATATATATATATATATATATATATATATATATATATATATATATATATATATATATGTGTGTGTGTGTATATTCCTAATAAAACCAAGCACGAAATATAAATATATGGACAAATAACATTTTTTTAATGTTCTTAATCATGTGGATTCAATATATGATGTAGGAAAGCCAAGGGGGTAAGATTGGGATAACATTGAACACATATTTTTTCGAGCCACTTAATCATGAGAAGCAGGAAGACAAGGATGCAGCCATCAGAGCCTTAGACTTTATGCTTGGATGGTGAGTCTATATCATTATATATTCATGCCAACCGTATTTTTAAAGGAATTAGGTATCAGATTCTAGGATATTACAATATTTCTGTTTCTGATATCAATCATTGGTTAATTCAATCTAATTCACCACAGTCAGTGTATCGCACATCACATACATAGGTCTCTATATATGTGTTGGAATTTTCCCTCGTTCCATAAGGGCTTACTCCACATATATATATATATATATATATATATATATATATATATATATATATATATATATATATAATACAAATCTTTGTCTTGATTATTTTATGAGAATCAAGTAGTAGCATATGAATATGACCAAAAAATTTCAGGTTCATGGAGCCATGCTTTAGTGGCAAATACCCGGACATTATGATAAAAAATGTTACAGGTGGTCGTTTGCCTGAATTCACACAAGAGCAAGCCAAATTACTCAAGGGTTCTTACGATTTTATTGGCTTCAATTACTATTCTTCGTATTACGCCACCATTTTACAACCAAGTCAAGAGCCATCCTACTTGACAGATAGTCTTGTTGATAAGCGACCAGGTATTTTTCATAAAAGCCCCTCTTAAATTTCAAGAATTAGCCCTTAACTTGTACTAATATTTCATAATTATCATATCAGTTACTGTTTAAAGTTTTATTTGATATTTTTGGTTAATTTTTGACAGATAACCTTATTTATTTAGAACATATTATGAAATTTGTATATAATTTTTAACTAGTTTACTCAAAAAAACTTAGTTTAGTAGTTGAAATAGATAACATCAAAAAGTGATATTTATTTAATTAAAAATGAACGAGTAACAATTCATTCATAAATTTTTATCAAGAGTTCAATGAACGATGAGGCTTTTATTTCGGCATTTTAGAGATTACAATTCATATATATTTATTTCTATTTTATGTAATTACGATAACGTTTAATACTAGTTTATAACCCGTGGAAACCACGATTATAAAATTAATTAAATGTTTATAGTAAATCCTCAAAATTATTAATTAATTATTTTAAATAAATTATTAATTACGAAATATTTTTATTAGTTATATGAAATATTTTTATTAGTAATTCATATATGATTCACTTGTGATTTACATGTGAATCACATGTGGTTTACATGTGAATCATATGAGATTTACATGTAATCAGAAGGTTAAAATATCCCCTTATATGTATTGAAACAAAACAAAAACTAATTACTTATATTTACAATAAAGAAAACTAAAACTTATTTAATTATTAAAATTGTATTCCAATTCTTTCACTTGATGTTTTTAATTGTTATCACTTGTGGTGTAGGTTAAATGTGTTGAAGTTTTCAGAGAATTTTATCAAACAAAAACAAAGCACATTTTTAAGATACTTGAACCTTTTATTTGAATAGGTGGCACCCAACTAACCTAAGCTAAATGACCCATGCCTAAAGAAACTTTTGATCAATTTACTGTTTCAAGTGTGCTTCCTCTGCTTTTTTGAGCTCACCAACTGATGACAATGTCATACCCTGTATAACCAATCATGTATTATCAGTCTACTTTTTTAGTACAAAAAGCAAAATGTAAAAAATAATGATTTTGAAAAGTGAATGTTTAGTTATTTTGATCATTGTTTAATCCAAGCCATTGTAGATCCAGTAACTATGTTGATGGTATATCAGTTATATGAGACAGAGTAAATTGTATTTAGAAAATGAAGTTTTATACATCAAATGTATCTCAAAACAAGCAAGCATGTAATTTCAGTTTAAAAACAAAGATACCATTTGTGGGAAGTCCTGGTGTTGAAAAAAAATCATGTTTATAAGTTCCCTATAGTGAATGATGATCAGAACTTGGATAATATGCAAGTTGAACAAGGCCATTGATGCATAGGCATGCAAATAAGAGAAACATGGTTGGGTTATTCTAACTATACCAGTTTCTGAAGATTTAGAAGAGTTAATATCTCCTTTCACAATTCCAGATGCTATACACAAACAACTTTAGTAGGGACTATGGGTTTCAAATTTACCTGTTAAAATGAAAAGCGTATATTACTTACTGTATGAGTAAAATAATAAACATAGGAAGATAGTAATAAAAATCTTGCATCGAAGAATGTATAGAGAGGACTTGGCCTAATTCTAAGGAGTTGGTCAAATCTACAATCACTTGTACAAAAACCATATAAGGAAAAACCAGGTGTTTGTTTTTCACTAAAATGTCCGAGTAGCGAAACGAGACCTAATCTCACTGAAATCGAAACACATATGAAGAAATCGGTCAATGACTTGAGATGTCAACGCCAATTGAACCTCTAAATCGGGAGGTCCGGCGCGATCATACCTCTGGTTGATTTATTAGGGCACCGAACTTCGAGAGGGAAGAAGGACGCAACACCGCTTTATTCAATCTATCAATCTTTGGGGATCTTCAATGGAGATCGATTTCTAATACAATGGATTGGCGAAACGGATTTTGATTCCAGATCTACGGTAGCGACATTAGGCGATGGTAATAATGGAGGAAATCAGTGATTGAGAGATAGAGAGATAACAAAGATATTAGGTAGTCGTAGTGGTGATTGACGAAGGAAAGAGCGGTAGGCCGTCGAAGGCGGTGGTTGTTGACAAAGGTATGGTGGTTGTTGGAGGACGGATGGAGGCGTTCGATGGAGAGAAGAGGATGTCAGTGATGAATACGATACATTGATAGACAGAAAAGAGAATGAGAGAGAGACATTTTAATTAATAACTTATTTGATTTGTTTTAATTTTTTATATACCATATTTACCCGTATGATCTATTGCGAAAAACCTTATATACCATTAAATTTAGTCATATTTACAAAGTATGCCACTAATCATCTAATCCGTTCAAAAAAGTGATCCAACGTTCCACTTTTAGTTCTCGGGTTCTCGGAAAACTTTGAGTTTTCAAATGATCCTTCCCCTCTCTCTCTCTCTCTCTCTCTCTCTATATATATATATATATATATATATATATATATATATATATATATATGGTTTATGTAGTGATTTATGAATATTGGTTTGGCTTGCCAATAAAAAATATTAACACTAAAACGGTTATTTAAAGTTCATTGAATTTACTTTTTTCTGTAACATATTTTATTTATTATCAACTAATATATCCTTAATAATAGAGATATATATTTTAAGATTGACTAAACATTTTCTACAAAATCTCTTCAAAATGGACCAAGAATGAACATAAAAAAGACTGATTTATAACTTTTCAATATCATTACGAAGTACCTATATATTCGACATTATACTTGGAAATATATAATGTCATATTTCAAAATACTTTTATGCTACATCTAATCAACACCATGTACACTAGAACAAACTAGGGATGTTGAGATTTTTTGACATTCTTAGAACAAACATAAATTGCATTCAAGAGAAAATAATTATTTTTTAAATTCCTAAATAAAATGATTGTTTTTATTGATTAACTCTTTATAAAAGTTAGTTTTGTTAATATCCCATTTTTTATTATTATATAGAGAGTTGCTTACAATTTTAAAAAAGTAAATATCATACATTAAATAAAAACGTTGGGAAGATAACTTATTTTGGCTATAAATTGGATGTCAAACTTCTTTGACAAAGTGAATATCAAATCCAAATCCAAAGATATGGACACAATTCCACCAAACAAGGGATTCATAATTTCCTCTTTCCCCAATCTTGTAGACAGCTCAGATTTCAAATCTGATTTTGCTTGGGGTGCTGCCACTTCTGCTTATCAGGTATGTTTTGGCATCCTACTATTTCGATTTTTCTAAAAAAGGGCTTAAATTTATGAATCTTTAATTTATAAACGAGTCACATAATGGCGTTACGATAAGAAAAAGAAAACATAAAATGTGGAATTTCGATTTCTACATTTCATCACTTTCCACCACTAATCAACATGAAGCACTCCACAAACCAATAAGTGGAAGCATTTCAAAACCCAGATCTGTTCATATGGTCGAGCTTGAATCACCCTTATCCCAAAAACAAAACCATTTAAATGTAAACCCAGTGATGCAGCCGTACAAATTGAAACCTGCAAATCTAAATCTTGAAGATATACAATCAAATTGCTATCCCAATCCAAAATCATGTAAGCCCAATGAACAAAAAGTCAGATCCAAAAAACATAACGAAAAAGAAGATAAACGGTAGCGATTGGGAGGAAGATGAAGTTGTTTTCTTGTTTTCGAAACCAGATCCTAGATCGAAAAAACGAAAACCGAAAACACTTATCTATGTTTTGGAGCCTCTACATATTTATTAACAATTGGCTCAGATTAATCTTTAGTTGGGATTATGTTAGGGAAGAAACCCTGTGATGAATCCCACTTTATCTGGGAAGATGAACACTATTGTGCAAATGCTGAAGCCAAAACAACAAATAAGAAGAAGAATAGCTGAAGAACGGCGAAAAACCAATACCCTTTATTTTTATTTTTTTCACTCAAACTTACATCTTTAGTCCCTAAAGAATGGTAAGTTGGTTACATTTAGCCTTAGACGTAGTTTTATGTCACTTTTACCTACAATCTCCACATTAGCTTACCCAACCTTTTTTTTGGGTACATCCGAAAGTAAAAGTCCAAACTTCCCACTTGCTTATTGACTCAAATCGTGACCCATCATAGATGATTCTTTTCCACAAACATGTAGATTATCACTTGAAAACCACCTTTTGTAGTTCTATCTTTTGTTTCACCAAAATCGAAAAAACCACTACCAGCTAGACTAGAAACATTAAACGCAACACTACAAAATATCTTATTTACACTATGCCCCCTTTATTTAACTAATATTAGTATATTACATTTTACCCCCTTTATTTACACAAAATATCTTATTTACACTATGCCCCCTGTTTATATTTAAAAAAATTCTTATCTTTTACTAATTAATCTATTATGTCATGTATACAAATCAAAAAATAAATAGACATTATAAATTAGATGTGGTGGTAACTGGTAATTAACGATTATCTTCCATTTTTACTAAAAAAACATGTGAAACTTCAATACAAGATTTGGGTATGAATTATGATCACATTATATTTGGTTTCATATAGATTGAAGGTGCTGCATCTGAAGGTGGTAGAGGTCCATGCATTTGGGATATCTTCTGCCAGAAGCACCCTGGTCTTTCTTATATTCATTCTTTGTAAATACATGAGTGACACCTTTTATTAATTTAACTTAACAAAAATTTGTTTTGAATTCTACTGCATGCAGATGCCATCGTTAATGGTGATAATGGAAACAATGGTACTGAGGCTTATTATAAATACAAAGTAATATAATCCTGCTTAACCTTTCTATTCTCTTAAAGTTAAATGAGAGATTCATTAATCCAAAACCCTTTTATTTTAAATATACAAACAGGAAGATGTGCAAATGATAAAGAAAATGGGCGTAAATTCCTATAGATTCTCAATTTCATGGAGTAGAATACTCCCAGGTGAATTACGAGTAAATGAACCTTATATGTGCATTTTATTTAAAGCTGTAATTAAATTGTTGTTCACTTTTTAGGTGGAAAACTAAGCAAGGGCATCAACAAGGAAGGTGTTGATTACTACAATAACCTGATCAATGAGCTGATAAGCAATGAAATTACGCCATATATCACTCTCTTCCATTGGGACACTCCCGAAGCCTTGGAAGAAGAATACATGGGCTTCTTAAATGAAAAGATAATGCAAGTTGAGAGAATTACTCCAATACACACTTTTATAACTTTTGATTTTTCCAACCCACAACCACAACCTCAAACTAATTAGATTATTGTTGTGTATATATTTGATTATTAGATATGACTTTATGAGTTATGCGGGATTTTGCTTCATGGAGTTTGGTGATCGGGTTAAGAATTGGATCACAATAAATGAGCCACAAGCTTATGCTTCAAATGGATACGCTAGTGGCACTTATGCACCTGGCAGAGGAAAGAAAAATGGTGCTGGGAATCCTGGGACCGAGCCATACATTGTGGGCCACAACCTACTCCTTTCTCATGCTGCTATCATTGACCTATACCGCCAAAACTTTCAGGTACTACATCTTAGTGTATCCTACATACTGTCCAATAAGTGTCTATATATACAGGAGTCTCCCCTCTCCCCTCTCTCTATAAGGGCTCTTTTGGAGAGACAATCTTAGACTCCACATATATCTTACACTATATATATTCCTAATAAAACCAAGCACGAAATATAAATATATGGACAAATAACATTTTTTAATGTTCTTAATCATGTGGATTCAATATATGATGTAGGAAAGCCAAGGGGGTAAGATTGGGATAACATTGAACACATATTTTTTCGAGCCACTTAATCATGAGAAGCAGGAAGACAAGGATGCAGCCATCAGAGCCTTAGACTTTATGCTTGGATGGTGAGTCTATATCATTATATATTCATGCCAACCGTATTTTTAAAGGAATTAGGTATCAGATTCTAGGATATTACAATATTTCTGTTTCTGATATCAATCATTGGTTAATTCAATCTAATTCACCACAGTCAGTGTATCGCACATCACATACATAGGTCTCTATATATGTGTTGGAATTTTCCCTCGTTCCATAAGGGCTTACTCCACATATATATATATATATATATATATATATATATATATATATATATATATATATATATATAATACAAATCTTTGTCTTGATTATTTTATGAGAATCAAGTAGTAGCATATGAATATGACCAAAAAATTTCAGGTTCATGGAGCCATGCTTTAGTGGCAAATACCCGGACATTATGATAAAAAATGTTACAGGTGGTCGTTTGCCTGAATTCACACAAGAGCAAGCCAAATTACTCAAGGGTTCTTACGATTTTATTGGCTTCAATTACTATTCTTCGTATTACGCCACCACTTTACAACCAAGTCAAGAGCCATCCTACTTGACAGATAGTCTTGTTGATAAGCGACCAGGTATTTTTCATAAAAGCCCCTCTTAAATTTCAAGAATTAGCCCTTAACTTGTACTAATATTTCATAATTATCATATCAGTTACTGTTTAAAGTTTTATTTGATATTTTTGGTTAATTTTTTGAGTACCTGACACAGATAACATCAAAGAGCGATATACTTCTTTAATTAAAAATGAATGATTTAACAATTCATTCCTAAATTTTCCCAAGAGTTCAATGAATGGTGGCATTTTTATTTCGGCATTTTAGAGATTACGATTCATATATAAAAACTATATATTTATTTCTATTTTATGTCACTACAACAACATTCAATATTGATATAACGATTTGAAGATATTTAATGAGATCCTTTATATTGTGCACGAATTACTCAAAGTTGGAACTAAGTGTTACTTTTTTATTTTTCAGAGGGTCTTGATGGGAAACTTATTGGTCCAAAGGTATACTTGTATTTGATGAGGTGTAATGTTGTATCATATTTAAATTTAAATTTGTTTCTTAATTTATTTCATTGATCAAATATTGTAGGCAGCCGGTGACTGGTTGTATTCCTATCCACCTGGATTTTACAAAGTGCTGATGCACATAAAACATACTTATGGAGACCCAGTGATTCTTATAACAGAAAATGGTAGTCAATTTTGATTCTTATAATTGTATTTTTAATAATATATTGGAAATATTATGTTGTGATGATCAATCAAGCGGATTATTTCTG